AGAGTCATCGGAGCTGGGAACGGAGCTCATTCGTGGGTGTAGTCACATTTGTTGGACGATGGGGTTGAACCTGTTTTGGTCCAAGGGCTTCGTGGCTATGTCAACAAGCATAACCTGCGTTGGGATGTGGTGAACCGTGATGCGGCGCCGCTTGATCAATTCCCGGAGGAAGAAGAACCGCAGCGCGATGTGCTTGGTCCTCGAGCTGATCATGGTGTTGGCGACATGGCTTAAAGCCCCTGAGCTGCAGTGATATATATCATCGTAATCATCTCCATGGTTGACCATTAATATCCTCCGTGATCAATCTCCATGGTTAACCACCGTCGTGATGATCATGTGAACCATGGAGATCTTCATGGCTATGTCCACGGTCAACCATGATTAACCATGAAGCTCTTTGGTTAATCATCGTAATGATGACCATGGTAAGCCATGGAGATCTTCATGGCCATCTCCATGGTCAACCATGATTAATCATGAAGATGATTAACCATGGAGATGGTTAACCATGGTTGACGACAGCCACCTTGGTGAACCCATGTGTACCGTATATTACACAAGATAACACACCCCCTGGACCGATTTTCTAAGCTCGAATACTCCACGACGAAGAGAATGCATAAACGAAACGATACATTTTCGACAAGCTCTCGACGAGACGGTTTCAACACCGCCGTTTTCGGCGCTGTGGCTGTTCCTGCAATCGAGGAATCGAGCTCCGAAAATTGGTCAAGGGGGTGTGTTATCTTGTGTCATAAACGGTGTTTACTCCATCCAAGTTGTTCACCCGCTCGCCGAGGCCATGAACCCGCGCACCTCATATTATTGTCGTACCCACCGTATCGTTCGATAGCCATGGCCAACGAAGGTGCAAATACTACCGCGTAAAGCCCCATCAGACCACCCAAATATTCGTCCCCGTATGTTCATGAATATTTCCCGTATGCCGTGCATGCGAATGTTGACGCCTCGTACATGCACTTGGCGTACTTGGTTTTATCCGTCATGTTGCCGACAAAGTGAGCAGCAGATGTTCTCCATGGTGCTTCTACGTTGGCACCGAAAGGACAATACGAAAATACAAACATCGATGGATCGAAATGTAGCGATGTAGCGACAACAGCGCTCAAGTCGTTGTTGACCACTCCTAGAGCTGGAGTGATTGCCGGGTATGCCCGTATTTGTGTCCAGTGACTAGAAAGTCTTGTTGATTGCTTCTATTTGATCCGCAGGACAAACCCACGACAGACAGAGGAGAAAGAGAGTGCCCCATGCAGGCTGACGCCGCATGGGGGCACCGCTGACTCATCGAAAGTCTACCACAAAAGGTACNTGTTGACCACTCCTAGAGCTGGAGTGATTGCCGGGTATGCCCGTATTTGTGTCCAGTGACTAGAAAGTCTTGTTGATTGCTTCTATTTGATCCGCAGGACAAACCCACGACAGACAGAGGAGAAAGAGAGTGCCCCATGCAGGCTGACGCCGCATGGGGGCACCGCTGACTCATCGAAAGTCTACCACAAAAGGTACCCGTATGTCCCTTCATCTACGGAACACAGAACCGTCCTCAGATCCTTCCCACATATACACACACACGAACACCCTCCCTGGTTCCTTACATCAGTAATTAACCATCACCGTGTGTTGCTCAACGTGCTCGGGTATCACCGAAAATCACACAGAAAAAATACGTTGCAAGGGAAAACCCGGCCACCGAGCCAATAACCCTCGCAAAGATTCTACGACTACCAAATGAAACATCCTCGTTGTCACCTCAACTACTCCAATTCCCTAGGAACGAAGGCCAAATGCAGTGCTAACGTTGGCGTCTTACCTACTCCAATTCCCCAACAAAGCGACATACCAAGCGGACCAAACTACATCGATGGTTCGGATGATAATCTCAGCATTTTCAGGGCAAGACAAACATAAAGTTCCAACGCTGGCTGAGATACAGCAACAGGCCTGAAGAAACACAATCATTCAACTTATTGCGTGCCAGGGGGGCCGGCAATTTGGATTGCGAGCGTTGAACGGCCTCTCACGCAACAAACGGAACATCAGATCAATACCTAAACCGTCACTGCGCATGAAATGCCATAGTGCTCCCCCGTGACATCTAGCCTTTGAGTTTCGCTGTTGCGAATGTCCTACGCGAACAATTCAAACAGCAAGGGAAAACATTGATACGATACAAACACGGTAGCGGCTATTAAGGGGAGGTCGTCAGCGACATGCACGTTCACTAACATCGGTTGACGCAACATTGGATTCCCTCCCACATTTTGCAACTACACACAAACAACTCAAAACTGCTACGAGCATTCTCTGCTAACGGTACCAACCGAAAAATGTCGGCCTCGGCAGGGGTGTTGACTCCGTTGCCGAGCGGGCTCCGGCTCCACCAACCCACGAGCAAAGACCCCTGCTGCTGCTCGCCACCCTGGTAAGCGCGCCGACTGCAACGACAAATGCGTACGCTGCCCCCCCTACATCTGGAAGCGCGTTGGCGGAGATCTGTGATGACCGAGCAGCTCCCCCCTTCATCTTGAGAACCGCCCAACAGAAAACCCTGCGCTGCCCCCCCTTCATCTGGAGGCGCGCCGGTGAAGAAAATTTGCCCTCCCCTACATCCCCCCCGGTGTTTTGCCTTNAGGAAGTAAGCACAAGATGCCGAAAACCCTTAGCAGGATGCAGCGCACCCTTCATGCGACTCGCCGAATATCTCACGGCGCTTCGCGCTTGGTGATGTGAGAGCCTGGTCCGGTGAGAACCCGGCGTGCTCCGTCCCGGCTTTGTAGGGATGCGAGGTCAATGGTCTAACGACTACGGCATGCACGACTATGAGTACACCCCCCTCCTACATCTGGCGAGCGTGGACCCGCGTCGCCCCCCCTACATCTGGGTGCGCGCTGGTGAAGAATAGTTGCCCTCCCCTACATCTGGAGAGGGTGGACCCGCGCCGCCCCCCCTACATCTGGAGGCGCGCTGGTGAAGAACTGCTACCCTCCCCTACATCTGGAGAGCTTGGACTCGCGTCGCCCCCATTGCATCCGCTGGGAACGCGCCAGTTAAGAATCTACTGCCCCACGTCTGGGGTGCGTCTGCTGTCGCTGCCCCCCCTACATCTGGGGGCGCGTACAGATGCCCCTCCTTTTTGTTTTGGAGATAACACCTGTTAGACATTTGCGCTACCCCCCCTACATCTGGGGGTGCGTGTAAGTACCCTCCCCTACATCTAGAGAGCACACCTTCGAAATTTACTCTTTTTTTGTTTCGCTACCCCCCTACATCTGGGGGCGCGTGTAAGTACCCTCCCCTACATCTGGAGAGCACACCATCGAATTCTTTTTGCGCTACCCTCCTTAAATCTGGGGGCGCGTCTTAGTACCCTCCCGTACATCTGGAGAGCACATCTACGAATGTTTTCGCTACCCCCTCTACATCTGGGAGTGCGTGTCAGTGTCAGTGCCTTCCCCTTCATCTGGAAAGCACAGGTTTCAAGAACTCAAGTCGCCCCCCCTACATCTGGGGGCGTGGAGTGTTGGGGCTGGGTATAGTGGGTTGTCTACCTTTCAAGGCCTCACGCTCACCTAGCTTATCCTCCGAGCATAAGACCGCCAAAAAAGCTCGAATATATCATCGGATGAAGACGAACTACAGTTGTTGCTCAACAAAACACACACACTAAAGAATGGAAACGCCCGAACTGCGAATCCCCTTTCGAAAACATCAATGGCCGTGTCATCGTAAACGAAACTACAGGCGCTCTACCAACACCAAATCAGAAATAGAAACGCTGAACTGCGAATCCCCTTCATAAACTTTCGGTATCATTCGTCACAGGCAAGATCACTCAGGAAATCACTCACGAATCAACCAGAACTGAAGTGTTTCGCGGCAACGCCGCGCTGTTGTTAGCCCTCTTCCAAACACACAGCAGTATTGCGCGGTGTTGCTCCTCTGCGACAAGTCGGCATTCACCAGAATCGCCATGAATGCAATACTCCAGCTCTCGCGGACCGAGTACTTTTCCCGCGATCAACAGGCTCAGGTGTTGTGCCGCCCGCTACTCCACCGCTGACGCCGCCGCTGTCCCGAGCGCCAGGGCCCACAGTCTCGGGTAGGTTCCCTGCGGCGTAACCCCTCCCGGTTCCCCCTGGGATTCCAACCGCACCCCCCACGGCGCCCCCGTCCACCACCGCGCCGTGTGACCCTCCTCCTCCTCCGTCTCGCGTGGGCTGCCTGGGCAGAAGGCTCTCGAAGCGACTGAGCAGCAGCTCCATCCTCCCCTCTGCCTTGGCCTGCTGTTCTTCAAAGCACGCCGTCAGCGTGCTCTCCACTTCTCCAAGTTTAGCAGCGAGCTCCTCCTGCGAGACTCCTCCCGACATGTTGCTGGCACGGGCTCTTTCGTTCCCTTGCAAGGACGATGGAGATAGAAATAAAACTCTAGAGTGTTGACCACTCCTGGAGCCGGAGTGATTGCCGGGTATGCCCGTATTTGTGTCCAGTGACCAGAAGTCTCGTTGATTGCTTGCATTAGATCCGCAGGACAAACGAAAGACAGACAGAAACAGAGGGCCCCATGCAGACTGACGGAGCATGGGGGCACCGCTGACTCATCAAAAGTCTACCACAAAAGGTACCATGGTATGTCCCTTCATCTACGGAACACAGAACCGTGTTCAGATCCTTCCCACATATGCACACACACGAACAGTCGTAAAGGTCGGGGTCAGGGCCTAGCTGACGCACCGCTGAGCCACCCGTTGTTCGACTCTCCCATAGAGGAGTTCCAGTAGAATTCTGGTGGGGCTTCTTGCACGTTCCAAAGTAGAGGGTTGTCGTCGTCGTTTGGCGAATTGAATAAAGAGCACAATAGCCCTTTGCGGCCCCAGTATTGAACCTGATAGCGGCCGTTGAAGCAATATGCGCATAGCATGGAATCGGGGCTCGATGGAGAGGGAGTATCAATCGTTGAAACAGTGAGAGCAATCCCTATTCGTCACCAACTCACCAGGAATATATCGTAGGGTAGGTCTAGAAAACTAATGCCCGACTCCCGCAGTGAAGCAGGGCGCCCTCTCTTCTGTCGATCTACGGCAAGATGTACGTTGTCTCATACTACGGCGATACCACAGTCTGCTACCGGTCTACGATGAGCATGGTCGCAACCCACGACAGATCTCCTCGCCGACTCAGGTAGCGATCAAAGAGGTAGGCCGTGTCGTAGAAGAAAATGGTCGGGCGTCGATCCTCATCAGGAACAATCTTCTTCAGGACCGCGTCAACCTCGGCACAGCCTTCTGCCTCCGGGGGGAGTGTACTCATAGTCGTGCATGCCGTAGTCGTTAGACCATTGACCTCGCATCCCTAAAAAGCCAGGATGGAGCACGCCGGGTTCTCACCGGACCAGGCTCTCACATCGCCAAGCGCGAAGCGCCGTGAGATATTCGGCGAGTCGCATGAAGGGTGCGCTGCATCCTGCTAAGGGTGTTCGGCATCTTGTGCTTACTTCCTTGCGTACGGATGACAGCTGCGTATGACTTAATTTATTTTCTGGTGCTTTCACTTCCAGAGACAGTTGTAAGCACTGTGTAACTGCCTCGAGGGTGCTTGACCATTTTAACACAACGTGGTGCGATCATCCCCCTAGCGCGGAATGAGGGTTCTCCACTCCGCATGGTCAACGCCAAAAAAACACAGAGGTAAGAAAACCCCGGTAACCTGGTTGCCGAGTTCACGAAGTGAATTGGCTTGTTTTACAACGTCGTTGCCAAGCGACGAAAACCCAACCCCGATGGCAAAACACCGGGGGGGGCGGCTTGTTTTACAACGTCGTTGCCAAGCGACGAAAACCCAACCCCGATGGCAAAACACCGGGGGGGGCGGCTTGTTTTACAACGTCGTTGCCAAGCGACGAAAACCCAACCCCGATGGCAAAACACCGGGGGGGGCGGCTTGTTTTACAACGTCGTTGCCAAGCGACGAAAACCCAACCCCGATGGCAAAACACCGGGGGGGGCGGCTTGTTTTACAACGTCGTTGCCAAGCGACGAAAACCCAACCCCGATGGCAAAACACCGGGGGGGGCGGCTTGTTTTACAACGTCGTTGCCAAGCGACGAAAACCCAACCCCGATGGCAAAACACCGGGGGGGGCGGCTTGTTTTACAACGTCGTTGCCAAGCGACGAAAACCCAACCCCGATGGCAAAACACCGGGGGGGGCGGCTTGTTTTACAACGTCGTTGCCAAGCGACGAAAACCCAACCCCGATGGCAAAACACCGGGGGGGGCGGCTTGTTTTACAACGTCGTTGCCAAGCGACGAAAACCCAACCCCGATGGCAAAACACCGGGGGGGGCGGCTTGTTTTACAACGTCGTTGCCAAGCGACGAAAACCCAACCCCGATGGCAAAACACCGGGGGGGGCGGCTTGTTTTACAACGTCGTTGCCAAGCGACGAAAACCCAACCCCGATGGCAAAACACCGGGGGGGGCGGCTTGTTTTACAACGTCGTTGCCAAGCGACGAAAACCCAACCCCGATGGCAAAACACCGGGGGGGGCGGCTTGTTTTACAACGTCGTTGCCAAGCGACGAAAACCCAACCCCGATGGCAAAACACCGGGGGGGGCGGCTTGTTTTACAACGTCGTTGCCAAGCGACGAAAACCCAACCCCGATGGCAAAACACCGGGGGGGGCGGCTTGTTTTACAACGTCGTTGCCAAGCGACGAAAACCCAACCCCGATGGCAAAACACCGGGGGGGGCGGCTTGTTTTACAACGTCGTTGCCAAGCGACGAAAACCCAACCCCGATGGCAAAACACCGGGGGGGGCGGCTTGTTTTACAACGTCGTTGCCAAGCGACGAAAACCCAACCCCGATGGCAAAACACCGGGGGGGGCGGCTTGTTTTACAACGTCGTTGCCAAGCGACGAAAACCCAACCCCGATGGCAAAACACCGGGGGGGGCGGCTTGTTTTACAACGTCGTTGCCAAGCGACGAAAACCCAACCCCGATGGCAAAACACCGGGGGGGGCGGCTTGTTTTACAACGTCGTTGCCAAGCGACGAAAACCCAACCCCGATGGCAAAACACCGGGGGGGGCGGCTTGTTTTACAACGTCGTTGCCAAGCGACGAAAACCCAACCCCGATGGCAAAACACCGGGGGGGGCGGCTTGTTTTACAACGTCGTTGCCAAGCGACGAAAACCCAACCCCGATGGCAAAACACCGGGGGGGGCGGCTTGTTTTACAACGTCGTTGCCAAGCGACGAAAACCCAACCCCGATGGCAAAACACCGGGGGGGGCGGCTTGTTTTACAACGTCGTTGCCAAGCGACGAAAACCCAACCCCGATGGCAAAACACCGGGGGGGGCGGCTTGTTTTACAACGTCGTTGCCAAGCGACGAAAACCCAACCCCGATGGCAAAACACCGGGGGGGGCGGCTTGTTTTACAACGTCGTTGCCAAGCGACGAAAACCCAACCCCGATGGCAAAACACCGGGGGGGGCGGCTTGTTTTACAACGTCGTTGCCAAGCGACGAAAACCCAACCCCGATGGCAAAACACCGGGGGGGGCGGCTTGTTTTACAACGTCGTTGCCAAGCGACGAAAACCCAACCCCGATGGCAAAACACCGGGGGGGGCGGCTTGTTTTACAACGTCGTTGCCAAGCGACGAAAACCCAACCCCGATGGCAAAACACCGGGGGGGGCGGCTTGTTTTACAACGTCGTTGCCAAGCGACGAAAACCCAACCCCGATGGCAAAACACCGGGGGGGGCGGCTTGTTTTACAACGTCGTTGCCAAGCGACGACGGCCCAACCCCGATGGCAAACACCGGGGGGGAATGCCTCCGGGAGGGGCTCTATCCCGCAGATGATCCCGCAAGACCAGCTCGCAGGAAGACTCCCCCAGCTGCTCTTCCTTCCTTGAATGCCACAGAGAATTCTCATGTCCTCATGCTATGTACTCGGCGCATGCACATTATTGAACGGACAAGGAGGGAGGTTAAACGGGGCCGCTCGGTGTCGCCAACCCGCCATCTGCTGCAAACGACGTATGTGCCTTGGCGAGGAATTGGTACAAGGTACATTGAAATAGATGCGTGGATGCCACAGAAACGCAAGACGGTTGAGTTCAATCGCAGCCCCGCCCAATCGTGTATGTTCGGAGTGCAGGGTGGTGTGGACACTCATGATATTACGGTGCCGCGTTTCCTCACTTCCTCACGTGATTGAGGCGTGAAATAATTCAGCGTTATCTGTTGCCGGAAAAAAATAATCCCCGTCTGCCAACCTCGACCCAAGACTACTTGGCGGGCCGAACGTGATAGCTGGCCTGTAGCTGTGGATTCACAAACCAATACTGTGAGGGTCACGGTAAGGGAAAATAACCTGGGCATTTGAAGAAGAAGTCGAGGGCCTCATGCAAAACTCAAAGGGGTCACGCGGAACATATTTGGTTAGGGCATCCTCCGTAAAGCTTTGGTGACATTTCCATGTTCTCAGCGTAGCACAAGTTAGGGTTATACACGGTCCCCCATGGGCGGTTATGAAACCCTCTCCCACGAACTAGTGCCCCATCAAAGAGATCCTGACGTTTGCTGACTCCCAATGCACCTTTTCGTTCAAAAACCGCGCTCGCTGTGCAGTGGTCCACGTAGCCTCTCTGTTCCTTCGGTTGAACTCGTCCTCATGTGCCCTGTGAACTCGTCCTCATGTGCCCTGTGGGCTGCGCACGTCAGTCTGTTGTCTTCGCGACTGTTTCCGCAAGGTGGGTGCGCGACCCAGAACGCGCATTTGGGCCCGTGTACGGCCGCGTACACGTCGCGGTATCTGACATGAAAAGATCACGAGGTGTTGCACCTTTGTCGCCTTGTTTCTGATATGGGAATTTGCGTGGTTTGTGGTTGACGTACATGTGGACATTGAGAGTGAACTGGACGACGTGTCTCATACAGGTTGTCTGGTACATTCGCTGATGTTGTTGGGGATTATTCCTGTGCCGAAAGCATGCTGTCTCACCACCTCCACGGCTACACGACGCACCCGCCTTCTATTCTAGGCAACTCTTTGAAAGCGCAGCTGCCATCGATGTCCTCACACCGCCATTGTACGTGAGGCGCTTACCAATTTACGTCCATTACTTGTGATGAAGCACTTGGTCGAGCAATAATGATGATGCGTTTGTCACGTGGTTTACGCGATCGAGGAATGAATATGTCTAACCTGTCGCCAAGGGTTGGGCATACGAAAATGGTTCAAGTGAAACGTGCTCAATGATGACTTCGTCAGACTCACGCTAACGACACACCTGTGCTTAGGGTGAAGCCCGGCAATATCCTGGTCGCACTTGTAGAAGGAGCACTGGGAAGTTATGGCGGTAAGTTTGAAGGGGAGGGTGGGAGTATGCTGGTGGGATTAATCGTCACAGCCACGGTTACCTCGAGATTACGGTTAGCGGGGCGTTCGAAAATAATGCCCAGAAACATTAGACAGTTTTTTTCCTGGGGCAGGATTTCGCGACCGCGCCTTTTCCCCTTATGCACAAGGTAGCGGTAAACAGCGGACGGGACGTGGATATGCACATGTGTCTCAACAATTTGGAGCAGTAAAGAAGGATAGATAAAATGTGTGGTCTACGCGTACTGCGGGAGTACGCCGGGCAAACGTATTTCGTCGAAACGTATTTGGTCGCAGCGTTAGCACTGCCCGCACGCACCGCAATGAATAGACGGCAAGGATCTTGGTGACAAGGCAAGGAGTTTTGGTGATAGCGACAAAAACAGATTTTCAAAATGGACGGCATTCGTGGCGTAAAACAACAAAACCCATACCTTGAAGTATCTCGTGGAGGTATTGCCGTCGATCGCGGCCGCCTGTGTCAAAAGTCTTCTCCTGCCACGGGGTGATTTTCCTGCACAGATCGCAAACGTGATCTACCCACGGGGAGTTCCTCCAAGTAGCCTTCAACTAACTCCTCCTCGACACGCCGTAGGCCCTCCCAATGGTTGCAACCTGACTGCTCGCCTCTCCTATCAGAAACATCGCACGCCTTGGGGTCCCTAGCCGTCAGTGCCTCGCCGGGCAATGCGTGCCACATGTGTGGACCTAGCGTGTTTCAAGCACAGATGCCGAGGGACGTCTGTCTGCAATGATGACCGGAATAGAAGGTTGTCTGGTTTGGAGCATACACACACTCAAGACAGAATGTATTCTACGCCGTTGTACGCTATGCATGCTCAATTGCTCAACCCCCGTTTGAAATGAGAGGAACGTTTGCAGTGATTGCTTCACTCCTGGTACAACAGTATATTACGTCAGGGATTGCATTGTCCACTATGTTCGCCGTGGACGGACATATTATTTGAAGACAAGGAAATGTCAAATTTGTTGTGCATAGCTGTCCCGTAGAAATTCCACTTGGACTATTTTTACGCTTAGCACCGTCAACGAAACTTGCTTACCGACCCTATTTGCGTCCTTACGCACGGCGTAATCTCCCAGCATTGGAGGAGTTCAGAACCTCTGAGTTCGAACTTCCGACCGCTGCCAACGTCCGCGGAAACCGTGTTGGAATGCAGTTCGGCGCAGGAGTTGAAGCCCGCCCTGGAAAGTATGTTGGGTGGCAGCGGCGGGAGTCAATAAAAAGCGTTTCTCGTGGACTAGAATCTATATTTTGCGAAGCGTGGACTCATAAGTGGGATGCAACAACTTTGGCGGGTGCCAGGTGGGGGGCTAGAGTACCCACAAATGAACTACCCACCCGATGAACCCCCATCTCTGGGCACGAAAGCGTTTAGGTCTAGCTGTGAAAATCCGTGTGGGAATATGTCGAAGAAGGCGAGTAATGTCTTCGAATGTGAAACCCCCTCTCGAAAGTCATCCACCTGCACCACGTTCTGCAACACACACCCATCCCGGAGGGGACACTAGTCGAGCCTCACCTCGTAGTGCATTGTGCCATCGCGAATCGCGTGAGGAGACAAGTAGACATAACTGTCTTTCCGCTTCTCGAGGCAATCCAGTCTGGTTCTCCGTCAGTCCATGGGTAGAAGGTGTGCGTCGTGAGACCATCTTCTCCGAGGTCCTCGTCGTACGTCCTTGTATTGAGGTAGAAATCGCCCTTTCAATCTCCAACACACCGCTTCGTAACATGTTTCGCGGCGAGTGATTCTCCTATGGTATTGGCCACGGCGTCCACTTCACTGACCATCATAGACCTACCGCAGCAGGTAGGCCCGAAATCACAGGCGGAATATCTACCTATCGACTAAGATGTATTGTCGGTAGGAGCGGTTTGCCGTAAAGTTTTCTCTATTGCTAAGCCGAACCCTTCAAGCTTGCTACCGTCGTAGAGTCCGACGAGGAAGTAGTACTGTGTAGAAGGCAACCCGTGCCGACCTATACAGGCCGTCTCGAGGAGGTGGCGCTGTGGCTTGTTCGTCCTGCGGCCATCCGGGTGCACCCGCATGTGGTCATGGCAGCCAAGTGAAGCGAAGAGCTCGATGATCTTGCGCAGGGTAAACCCGAAGAGCCGTCCACCTTGACTTGTAGACGAGACCAACTCTTTCAATACAGGGGCATTATTGCCTAAGGACGGGGATGCGGGCAAATAGCTTGTTGGGGTTGTCGTGCAAGAGGACAGGAGATGCAAGTTGGGTGGACCTGAAGGCAAGAGGTGCGACTTTTTAGTAGTGAAGGAATGGGTTGATGCATTTTGTGTTGGATCTTCATTTTTGTTTTATGTTCATATGCATAGTTCGTTTGGTTCACGATGCGTCCTGAGTTGGTTGGTGCACGTCGTGACTTACGTGTTGCAATGTCGAAAGTGTTGGTAAACTCGTGGCTCCTGGGGAAAAGATGTTTTATTGTTGAGACCTTGGACCAGGAGAACAGGTCAAAAGGTGAAGTGAGCAAGGGTGGCGAGCACCACAGCACCGCAGCACCGCAGCCACCACCCGTGTCGCTCGACCAACGCACAAAAGCAGAACACAATGATATCGGAACACAAAGACTCAACCGACAGGGGCTAACGTACTTCACAACGTACCATGCACTATCCACAAGAAACACACTCGGGGTAATGCACCATCCACGAAGAACATTTCCACAGAACGTTGCTTGCTGTTCTGATATACTACTCAGATCTTCAACGCAGACAGTCCCGCAATGCAAACTGTCCAATCAAGTTGTTCTATGATACGTCACTCTGTCGACACATACAGCAGCAACTATCACGAACACCCTCCCTTGGGGCTGTTGTCTCGACCAGATCAAATATATATCAGAATAACAACAACAACCAATATAAAACACAACTCAGGTCTCTAGACTACTTCTCAGAAATCAAACCTAGAGCAAAATTACGATGAACTTCAAAAAAATCTCTCGGCAGAGCCTTCGTTAGAATGTCCGCATGCTGTCCTTCGCTAGAGACATGCCTGATTTCCAACACTCCCTCCTCTATCAAATTCCTGAGAAAGTGGTGCCTCGCCTCAATGTGCTTATTGTTACACGAACTGAGTGGATTANGAACTAAGTGGATTCTCAGCAAGTGCAATCGCACCCTCGTTGTCCTCGCGTACCTGGATCTTACCAAGCTTCTCACTAGGCCTCAAGAACTCGAGCATTCCGTTGACAAACAGAGCCTCTTTTACACCGTCACCCATCGCAACATACTCTGCTTCAGTTGTTGAAAGTGTGACACATTTCTGCGTCCTAGAAATCCAAGCAACAAGACAGTCAGCTACAAGAACTAGTGCTCCTGAAACTGATCTACGGTCAGTGGCCTTACTGGCGAAGTCTGCGTCTACGCACACCGACGTGCCTACGTCTACCATAGTGTCCTGCTTGTACTTAAAATTTAATTTGCCGTCTCCAGAAGATAATTCAGAATCTTCTGGGCCGCCTTCCAGTGCCTTTTCTTTGGCTCGTGAGAGTGCCTCGCCACCGCCCGCACAGCATTTGAGATGTCGGGCCTCGTCTGGTTGGCGATCCACATCAGGCTCCCCACCACCTCTTGGAACGGCACATCCCCTGCCTCCTCCTCCTCCATCACGGACCTGTAAACACTAGCAGGGGGAGCAGGGTCGAGCTGGTGCGACAAATATTGAATCTCTCGAGAACACTCCTGACGCAACGCTCTTGAGGCATCTCAATCTTGCCAGCCTCGCGGTCGCGACTAAAGGCGCAACCATGAAAGAACTTGACCTCGCCACAATTCTTCGTGTGCAATGAGTCACCTAGCGCTTGCATAACTATCTTGGCAAGACTCTCAATTCCTCCATACAGAACGTCATCCACATGAATCGCGATCATACCCATCACCTCGTTTCTCATCATGAAACGCAGAAGACAGGGTCAGATAGAGATTGTTCGACACTAATCCTCTTCAGGTCCGACACTAATCTCTTGAGAAATGTTCTACATGCCTGCCTCAGTCCATCCAAACTCTTGTCTAAACGGGCGACCTTTCCTGACATCGACTCGCAGCCAGGAGGCAACTTCACGAACACCTCATGATCCAATTCCGACTGAACAAACGCTTGCTCAATGTCAAAGTGGAGAAATTCCAAATCATACTTGCACGCCAATGCTACCAACAAACGAATCGATGCAGCATTTGCAGTAGGCGAGAAAGTCTCAAGATAATCCACACAATACTTCTGCTTGAAGCCTTCGCTACAAGCCTAGCCTTGGCCTTCACTATCTTGCCTGTTTTGTCTGCTCTCCATTTATTGACCCATCTAGCATCTATCACGTTACAGCCTATCGGGGCCTTTACTGCTAACGCGAACATTCCTGCTCTTAACAAGCCTTCAAACTCTGCAGACATGGCTTTGTCTCAAATCACGGTATGCTTTGACTGGCGGGCTTCTCGGTAGCTACCAGGCTCTGTCTCTACATCCTGAATGAGCTCTCTCGGCAGTTCAATAGTATCACACGCTCTCTGCTCCACTAAGAGTGCTTCTACAATTTCAGATGCGGAAATATGTCCTAGAGTGGCCATGAGACCGGATACGCTCTGCTGGTTTACGGTCCGAGTTTGCGCACGGGTTCTGCCTTCTCTGACTTCAACGTTCTCATTTGCAGCAGTGTTGTTACTAGCAAGCTCATGCCGCGCACGATGATTAGATGGTACGTGCACAGCAGAGGGAAATGACTCCGATTCTACCTCCTGCCCTCCCGGCTCAACCAACTCTTCATCCAACCCTTCCTGACTCTCCGACTCTACCTCCTGCCCTCCCGGACCCGCCGGTTCTGCCTCCCCTGTCTCCGGCCCTTCCTGCTCTCCCTCATCGGTGAACTCGTCTGCTGGAGAAGACACAGGGGGAGCTTCGCTACTTGGGGAATTAATCGCGGGCGAAGATCGCACAGAGGGGGGTTGACCTACACTGCCTGCATCAACACTGCCAACCTCATCGATTGCTTTACCAGAGACCGTTGCATTACGTCGCAAAAGAATGTGGGGAACTCCTCTCCCGAAAAACGGCCATACCTCAGCTTATACATCGTCGTCACGTTCCTCCCCTCCCTCCTCTGCAACCTCAATTGGCAAGAGAGACGGTTGCGGTGGAGGGAGTTGTGACGGCAACGCTTCCCACGTCACATTCCTCGTTTCCTGAATAGTGCCAACCCTCGTAAGTGCTCTATGACAGTCACGCCGGTGGTCTCTCGAAGGACCGACATAATGGCAAGCCTCACCCTTCGGCAGTAGCTTAGACGGTCGCTGCCACCTACAGTAAGCCGGGTTCAAAAACGGATACGGTCTAGCAGGACTAACTTCACCATGCCACGTCTCATACGGCGACTTCCTATCGGGGTTAGCGGAACAAGCTATGTGGTTAATTGCTTCGCAAGTCCAGTGCATCGCCTCAGCCCATAGTCTTGGGTAATTGCACATACCCAAACAACACTTTTTCCTGAACACGGGCAGCCATTGCCGCCGCCTCAATCAATCCCAAACCACGCTCTGCAACACCGTTGTATTGGGGACTGTAAGCCGGGGTGAACTCTTGCCTAATCAAGAGCTCGTTGCACACGGACGCGAATTCCCCTCCGAAAAAATCCCCCCCATTGTCAGATCTAACGATCTCAACCAATGATGGGATACCATCAGTACGCACACTTGCGAGGAAACTCCTGAAAGCACTCGCAGCGTCTGATTTACTTTTCAGGTAATACATGTACGTCTTGTGCAATCATCCTTCACTATCATGGGGAAATGTTTACCGCCTACGGACGCAACGCCCTTCCGCCCTCCCAAGTCAAAAAAAACTCTGCCCAACTTTTTATCCAATCTGCATCTTGTCTCATGAGCAATTCCTTTCTTGAATGCCTTCGACATCGAACACCCCGTACAAGCATGCATTTTACCGGTCAACTCCATACGTAGTCGTTTTGCTGTTGTACGAAGCAATCCCTCATGTGAACGAGCATAAAGGTTATGAAACTCGTTCACATCCATCCTAGATTCATGCTTGGGGTTTGAAGGAGTGAGGGCAGCTAACACCGAACCAATAGAGTTATTCTCTATACGATACGCAATCGCAACAACCATGCCATCGAAGTTCTGAAAACTAGATGTTCCGTCGAAAGTAGCCATCATACCATCAAGACCACCGGAGCTATTTCATATCTTGCCATCAAACACTGCGCTGGGAGAAAAAAGGCTGCACGAAGCTTCAACTTTACTGAACACTCACTGTCAGCAATCACAAAAACTTCCTCAAGTGTTCCAGACGGTCTACTTCACAAGTAACGCCATCAATCCCTCATGCGTTCTAATAGCAAGACTTCACATCGTTAACGCTAGAGAGAGAGTCTGTCATGTGGAAAGCAGTAACCGTGTCCGTAACACCATTCTTGACATCTGTTCTTCCTCACAAGAATAAGAGTATTTGCGGGCAGCATCATCACTTGACAAGCACTCCAGCAGCATAACCTTGTAACACTCTACCAGACACGTCAGATCATGCGAGTTGTTCAATCTGGTTTGAGAAAATAGCACCATGTCAGACTTCTCACCGTCCTCTTTTCTGCCTGGCGCAGCGCATCCACACTGAATCCTTGCTGGGGGTCGAGTCGAATTCAAAGTCTGCGTTCGGAATGTCTACATGTAGTCTAGCTCAGACACAAAAGCCTCAAACATATTATTGTTGCTGTGGGCAGTCAGTAGAAACAATTGTGACCACGACGGATGCGACACGTCCGTCCCGTCACAAACAGAAGCTTTGGGAACTTTGAAAGGACTCCTACCCAAGTTTTCTCCTGTGTCAAAAATGCCGGCCCCAGGAATATACGTGTTTCCACTGGCGACACGTCTGTTTGCGGCCTNCGACACGTCCGTCCCGTCACAAACAGAAGCTTTGGGAACTTTGAAAGGACTCCTACCCAAGTTTTCTCCTGTGTCAAAAATGCCGGCCCCAGGAATATACGTGTTTCCACTGGCGACACGTCTGTTTGCGGCCTACGCCACTTATTTATCGGGTGAGACTGTTTTGGTGATGTA